GAGGGGTACATCTTTTCCTTTTAAAGTACGTCACAACTCGTTTCTCAGTCTTACACCACTAATGGTACTAAAGCATAGGGATGGTGTTTTGTAGTTTGGATGTACAGAGCGATGCCTTTGAAGCACAGATAATCTGCTTTGGTCCCCAGCTATGATTAGGAAGCCTCGCGCATCCCTGGTGCATAGCACAGTGGCAGGAAATAGCTCCTAAAGGGCTGCAGATTTGCTGTTTAATTTTTTTAATTACTGCTTATTTAGGAAACATAAATACTTTTACAAATCATTACCATGTAAGTATGAAGCACGCACTATTTTTAATTAAAAAATGAAGCTAGCACTATTTCACTTAAAGAAACATTGTGAAAGACACGAAGCCACTCTTTCATAAGGCCTTTGCAAGGACAAATACCTTCCTCACCTAGGATGCCTTCATTCAGGGGTTTTATTTGTCCTGACAGGCAATGCCATTTGCAGGTCAGGAAATCCTGAGTTGTGGTAAATGGTATATGAATCTAAAGCAAATTAGGGACACGGTTTAGTAGTGGACTTGGCAGTGCTGGGTTAATAGCTGGACTCAATGGTCTCAAAGGTTTTTTCCAAACTAAATTATTCTATGATTCTACTTGGTTTGTCTTCACCAGGAGAAAGGAGACCCGTTGTTCAGGAAACAAATGCTGCCCTAGCACTTATGCATCTCCTCAGAGAGTTGCTACCTCTGTGTGAGAGGAGTTGATATTAGTTGTTATTAAGATACAGCTGGGTTTGGAACCTTCCAAGGTGAAAACCTCAAAGAGATTAGTCAGCTAGTATTAAAACTCTGCATGAAAAGGTGGGTGTTTTCTTAAGAGCTATGTACGATTGAAATAGCCAGCTCTCCTCCAGCCTTGGGGTGGTTTTGATTTTTGTTTAGATTTTTTTAAAGTCATTTTCCCATTTGTTTTATTTTTTTCTTTTAATTTCTCTTTTTGCCATTTGTGTTCAGCTTAATTGATTGGAAAGGAATAATAAGAATGCTGGAGGATCTAAAACCCTGAGGAAGCCCAAGCTGTATGCTAAGTTGGTGCCTACCAGCAGCTTTAATCTCAATTAGTCCAATTTGTGAATATTTGTTTGTTTCTTCTTATTCACCGCCAAGATAAAAAAACAGAACAACTTTGAATAACAATAAAAGAAAGATTTCAGCTCACTGTTTATCTTTAAAGAGTGGCTCCATCTTCAATTGAATCCCCTTTCTGCTTAAAGCATCACAGCTATGGCCAGGCTGCCAACAAGCTCTTAGTTTAGAGAGTCCTAAGTGAAGTGGGGTAAAAAAGGACAAAGGAAGTTATCACCGGGACCATTCCCCACCATCACTGGGACCATTCCCCACTGTCACCAGGACCATGGAAGGCTGCTCCTTCAAACTTATGAACTTCCTTGCAAGGCAGAGAGGTTCTCCCATCTCAGCTCTTCCAGAAGCCCTGCCCTATATGAGAAGATCCTGAGAGAGCTCAGCTGTCTATCTCCCAGGGCCCTACTGAATAGCACAAGTTCAGGGAAACGGTCAGAGCTTAAGCCTTTTGTGTCCCTGCAGTGCAGGAGCTCAAAGGGTAACATTCAACTTCTTTCCTGCAAGGACTTCTCTATAGAGCTACAATTCACCTTCACTTGGTCCTTGCTGTTACTAAACCTGCTTTCATCTGCACTGTGCCTCAAGGGAGAGTCATCCTCAGAGAGGACTAGGTGTGTGTACCCCACTGCCATAGAGGAAGGGATTCATGCTAAACTGCAAGGAGGGTCCTACACAAGGACACATAGTGAGCATCATCCAATCATGGATGGACCTCAGCAGGTGTTCCAGTCTTCTGTCTCTGTAAAAAGCATGTCCCATGTGCTGCAAGAGCAAGGCTGGCAGCTGGCAAGTGCAACCGCAGTCTCAATAGCTGCATCATCTCTTAGTCTTCCTCTAAAGCATGTAGAAAAGCATGACTTTGCCTAAAGAGTTCTCATGTATGAAAATGCTCAGTGATGACTGCAGAAAGAGTTCGACAAGGCAGATGTTTTAGCTCTTCCATTGATCCAGAAAAGATCCTTCTACAAGAGGTGCAATACAACTCAAACTGCTTCACTGAGGAGCCAAGCAGCCCCCAACTCTTAGCCCACCTGAAATGTGTGAATAGAGCTGGCAAAGTGTGAATCCAGTTGGAGGTCCACAGCTGTGCTATACATTTAGCAGCCTGAGCAAAACACCCACTGCAAAGGCTGCTTCTCACTTCGTGTCTCTCTATCCCCTATCCAAGCAAAAGGAACTCATTCAGGGCTACCCCACTGTCATCCTCCAGCCACCATCATCCTCCTCCCCCACCCCCAAATTAACGCTCCTCCTAAAGCTGTTATCCTTTGTGATTTCTGTCATTTCGAATGAGTCTTGTGCTGTAATTTAAAAGATAACTCACTCCTCTTTCCAGCGTTTTAATGCATTTTATTTTTTCTACAAGCAATATACGTGTGTAATTAATAAACAATTTAGTATGTTGAGGAACCTAGAAACTTGGCAAATGTTCTGGGGATATGAAATCTCAGGAAAAGCAGCACATTATAAGAAATAGTAAGTAATTACTTATGTAAGCTTTTCTTTTTAAATTCTAAGAACATTAGCTACTAATTACCTACTAATTACCAGTACTTCAGCAGGTGTTTGCACTTAACTGTAGGCTAAAGCCCCTGTGAAAAACAAACCCCTCGCACTCCCTCTCAAGATTAAAGCAGAATCCCACTGGACTTCATAATGCAGCATAGGTGCAGTGGAGCTGTTTACATGTTAGTCCTTTAACCACTTGGCTGCTTAAGGTGAAAACAGGCTCCAGTTTATTTCCCCTGTATTTTCTGTCAGAACCAAGGTGATTTGTTAAAATGAGTAACTCAAAAGGCAATGAACAAAATCTAAGGGTTAAAAGTAAACTATGATTAAGACTTCATCACCATCTGCACATTTATCTCACTTCTGTAGTGACCTGGCAGAGGAACACTCTATTTCTGATCACAAATATTGCTGCCTGAACAGGGTGAGAATAAAGTCCTATCTGTGAAAAGTTCCCTGACTTTTAAAAAAACAAATGCAGAGCCCTCAGCTGGTGCAAAATGGTTTAGTTTCACCAGTATTGATACCCAAGCCAATACTTAATGCCACTTGAGGTACTGACCTGGACTTCAAATCTAATCTGTTTTTGACTCTTTTGAAAGTCAAAAAGCCTAAATTTTACTCAAAATTATTTATAAGCAACGAATTTCAAATTTGTAAGCATAAGTTAAAGCTCATATTCCTGACTGCCTAAAATTCAGAATTTTGGTTTACCCCGTTATCAAAACACACTTTACTGTCAATAAAAGGAAGATGTTAGACATAAGAAGTCCAGTTAGAGAATGGAAAAGATAGGAGGTGCCTTCAGCAACCTGTCACAGTGCTCAGGTTGCACCTTCTGCAAAGCACTTCAGGGACAGATGGAAGGACTGAGAGGCACACCTCAGGACTATACTTTTCCACAAAATGGTTCACAAATGAATAATTCTAACAGTGCTGCTAACATATTTTTTGCCTTTTACTCTCTCTGAGACTTGTAAGAACTATTCAAAATATATGGTTGCTTATTTCACTTCTGCAAAGATTACTTTTCACTGAAACTAAGACTCAAAGGTAGGCAGTGGAGGTAGTTCAGATCATCACCATTTTTCCATGGATGCTAGTCAGACTACAGATCCCCTCCAGATTCATTTTTCACTGAGGTGATAGAAGTAGTGACTGTGCTGTGAAGTATTAGGTCACAGGAGTAGAAGTGCTCATGCCTACAGCTGGGAGCAAAGTTTTTTGAACAGCACATCTCTATTAAAACAATAAGAACTGCAGGAGACTAGAAACAGTTGAAAACCTGACCCTTTCATTCAGGTACTTGGAGGGGAGCTTCTGGCTGCTGGTGTGTTTTAAGACTTGAATCCCACAACTGAGAAATTAAAAGCTGCTTTGACATATGAGTGAACCAAATGAGACCATGAGGCTTCTGAAAAAATTATACAGCTCAACCTTGGTGCCTTCCATCTGAGGCTCTCAAAACAATACACAAAAATTAACAAAATAGCACACCTAGGAGGTAAGTCATTGATCTTTTACCAATCAAAAAGCTGAGGCTTTGCACACCAAAATGCCCATATGTAATTGAAAAAGAGGATTTAAATGTCATTTGTTCTTTGTGTAAAAACACTTCCTTGTCATTTCTCTTCCTCTGCTGGAGGCCTATGGTAAGATTTTCAGAAGACCTGAACGGTGGGAAAAGTTGCAGTGCTCTGGTCACCAGGCTCTTCCAAAGTGGTGAGCGAGGCTGTTTCAGACCTGAGCAAGGAGTCCTGTGCCTAAATTCTTGTCTGTTTCTGACCATCGTCCCACATGATCTGAATAAAAGGTACCGCTTCTCTCTATAAATGCTTAACTTCACCAAATGCTGAAATGACACAAGTGTAGCTCCTCATCATATGCAGTTATAAGATAACATCATTTATGTCTTCATATGAGAACCTTACCAAAAATCATTACAAAAATGGGGAAACCAAGGACCAGGAATATTTTGGGCAGAGCCATCTGACTCACTGCTGTTCCCAAAAGGTGACCTGAAAGGTGAGCTCTCATGTCCATCCTCCTCATCATTCTTTCTTCCTCCTTGTACCCACTGTTCTTCCCTCCTCTCTTACTCTCAGTCATGATTCTCTTCTTCTTCCGCAGGTTCTGGAAATGGTCAGGTACTTCAGACGTTTGTTTCAATTTGCTAACCAAGGAGGAAGCCGTATATTTAGGGGGAAGAATTAGTTTTATGCTGACCCAGCAAGTTATGTGACCTCACAATTGGGTCCAGCAAGGTCCAGAGCCAGCAAAAGGTAAGGGGTGTCCAGGCTCTGGGTGTGCCATGAGTGAGATAAGTGGGGAGAAGGCTCTGTTGGGCTCCCACCTTGGTCTGGGAGATGCATTTACACCCTGGTGACCTGGGCTGTGATTGACTCTGGTATCATCACCACACCTACTCTGCTGGAGTACCACGGCAGTGCATTCCTAGGGGGTGAAGTCACTGCCCTACCAACTGTGCTGCTACCCCTGGCTCCCAGCTCTCCAAAGCACAGCCCAACAAAGGATGGAAGCACTAGGAAAGGGGGAGCAGGTAAGATGGAAATGTGACATCCCTTTATGTCAGAAATTAGTTACCCAACTATCCCATTAGGCACTTCTTAGGTGCTGGGCACTGGGGATGCAGAGGGAAATATTGATGATGCCAGCAAAGAGCAACGAAGTATTTGGAGCATCTTGAGTTTAATGGGTACCTTTGGTTTAGTCATAAACACTTTTGCTGTTTTTTTACCTGTTTTGCCCCATTTTCACTGTCTTCCAGGCAGTTCCCTTTGGTGGGAAGTCCCAGTTTCACAGTTCCAGCAGCACCTCGATGAAGTCAAGGCTTGAAAACCTTCTCCTGCATGCGCCACAGGTACTGTGGATGCCCCACTGACATAATTTCAGGGGATACAGAAGCAAATGGAGGAGAGGGTTTTCCTCTCTTCTTTACTTTAGTTTCAAAGAGGAGGGGAAAAAAAGCAGAGACAGGATTTTAGCCCTTCATTTTATAATGTAATTGAAATGCCAAGAGACCGAAAAAATTCAATGTTGATGAAGAAACGGATGTTAGCGCAATGAAGAATAGCTCTGTCTTTGTCAGTCTGCAGTCTTTTATGTGTCACAGGCTGTCACTTTCTATTGCATTTCAACTGACTAATTACTCCAGTTTATTAAAAGTGAATGTGAATTCACATTTTTTACTTTGCCATGTTCCAAGTGTTAGTGTTATCAGGAGCTATTACTGAATGATAGATCCCACAGTTCTAGACTTCCTCATGTGAGTAAGTACAGAGCAAATCTACCTCAATATCAATGAAAACCAGATATATTCATTTAAGGGGGAAATATATACTCTGTGCAGTGCATGTTCACATCCAAGCATTAATCACCCTGGTGTGTCCCACATGGCTCAGTGTATTATTAGAACCTCACTCACAGAGTAGAAGAGTGTCTGTAAGTGATGATGTTGGAAAGGTTGGACTTGAATTAAATGTACTCATCGCTTCCTAATGGGGAGGTATTTTCTGACAGCTGTAATGAAAACTGCTGCTCATCAAAAGGTACTCTGTGTCCTAGCTCACAAATTCAACCTCAGCTGCAAGTTGCACATTTAAATTTCAAAGTTTTTATCTCTAGCCACACTGGAGTGCACTTATAAGTGCGGTGGAAGGGTCAAATTAGATGAAATCAAAGCCCTGCTTCTACTGAAGAGGCAATTTTAAGCTTTTGCAATTGGAGTTGTGTGTTGTTATAGGCTTAAAAAAACCTCATCATCAAAAAGTAAGGATTTCTAGAACATGGTAATTATCACTTTGATCTGTCCAACTCAGTCCCATCAGTAACTACAATGTGAGAGTTTCCTCATTCTGTATAAAATAACATATTCAGATACACAGATGCATAGACTACAATAGTTCTTTACAATTGATACCCTGTTTATTAATGCTAGTCCTTCACACCTTCCCCTGCCCTCGTGAGTGTGCAGTCAGATTTCTTGTGAGGATGTTTGTACTGCCTTTGGAGGAACTGGATGCCGGTATAAGCTTTCCATGTATTGGCAATAATAATCAATACGAGCAACAATAATAACTTAGAAGTTATGTTGATAGTAAGTGCTGGGAAAGAATGGAGAATCGGGTCTTGGACGGAAGTGCCATTTTGCCTGAAAGCATAACACACACAGTCAACAGGGAAAGGAAGAGAGTTCCATTCTTCTAGTGTTTTCCTACTCATTGTTTATAGTAAAATGCAACTATTGTATGTTTTCCTATGATTCAAGATATTTACCATTTCACATGCTAAGCAAAATGTTCTTTCATTAGAACATAACATAGTTGGAGGGAAAATAATCACAAGACTGGCTGTGGTGCTGGTATCTTGTACATTTCCCAAAATGAGGTTGAAGAGTATTTTTTAAACACGCCTGCACGAAGAGAAGCAGTGGGACATGCACTCACATTGCCTGGACTCCAAGCAGGTCAGCTTGATGAGCTAGCTGTGATGGGAAAGCTGTAAGGCTTCCTTCTCCAGTGTTTTCATGTCCTCTGGGTATGATGAATTTTGTATAGGATATTTAAAGGACTGGTTGAAACTATCTCATCGTGGGTTTGTGCCCAGGCTGATGTACTGATGGCCATGAACAGAAGTTACACCCTGAAGCATCTACTCCATTCCCAGAGAAGAGCAGCTCTCCAGCTCTCAGTTTAAGGGTGGAGTGGGACCAGTCTGGCTCTACCCAAACATTAAGACAAACTTTGACTCTGGTCTGCACCAGAGAGGTGCATCTCGGGTGGGGAATGCTGATCCTGGATGACTCAGACCAGTGTTGGGTTGGATTTTCAAGGAATGTGGCCTGTCTCTCCCTTCCAGTGGAGAAGGGAAGACAAGCAGAGGGAGAAGTGCCTGTTACCTCTGGGTGTTTTTGGTGGCAAGTCAGGGAGTTTCAGGGAAAGGAATCGGGAGGGCCTGTGGGTGCAGGGTGTGAGGACACCTCTAAGCGCAAAGAGACTGGCTAGCATGAGGAGCAAGCAGCACCATCAGTGGAGAAGAAAACAGCTTCCCACAAGTTGGCTACCTCCTGAGGCAGATGTGGAGATCAAGAATAGGCATGTTATCCAGGGAGCAAGCAACATTTAAATCGCAGTGCTCAGGAAAAACCACACACCAGAATCCAGATAGGAGATTTGTAGCCAGCCTTGCCCCAAAATCAAAAAAAAGCTGAGAAAGTTAATGACCCTCTTCTGATGGGAAGAGAGGAGATTTTTGCTGCTTGCTGGATCTGCTATTCAGGGGAAGCAGGTGTGAAGAGGAAATGACTGCCATAGCCTGAGATGCTACTGGAAGGTGTTTAGGATTTTCTGCTGCACTGGCTCCATGCTGGTGATCCAGCAAACTGCTAACCTAGTTAGAAGGGCTTTAATGTAAGATTGAGGGAGGGGTTGACCAGGAAAAAAAAATGTTAGCATAAACAAGAGCAGCCTGATAGGGACCTAAAATTTCAGAGATGTTGGTATTCAGAATAGGGTCACAGGAGAGACACAGAGAGTAGCAAATCAATCCACTGAATACTTTAGATGTCTGTATACTAATGGAAGTAATATTTGGGATAAACAGGTGGAGCTGGAAGTCTTAATACAAGATCAAAATTATGACTTAATTGGCATAACAGAGTCTTGGTGGGATAATTTGCATGACTTGAATAGTAATATGAAAGGAAGAGCAGGCAGGGGGAAAACAGGAGGAGTGTTGCCTCTGTTTGGATTCATTTACTGACTGGAAGCCTGGTATATAGAGAAGACTAAAACTGCCTGAAAATTTTATAGGCAATAATTATAGGGGAAAAGAAATCAGGTACCTACATGATGGGAAGTCCACAGCAACTGGCCACAGAACTGATCAAGCGAGAGAAGCTTTCAGGGTAGCAAGGGAACTTTGACAGTGCTGGAAATGGAAAGTCTGTGCAGTGGGAGACAGCATGACCAGCATGTGTGTGGGGTGCACAGAAGAGAGAAGCCATGTTCAGATACCATGGACTGAGTATGAAAAATTACCAGGTGTCTGTAAGGACAGAAAAAGAAAAGCTGGAACACGGACTGAAACACCATTAGGCAGCGGCACCAGGGGTAAGAAGAAATCATTCTGCATATGCATTAGGAGTAAGAGGTAAGCCAAAAGCAGTGTCAACTGAACGATTACAAGGCAAAAAAGTTGTAAAAAGGATGCAGAGAAGGCCTATGTGTGAGGTCCCTGCATCCTCATCAATTAAAAGTCAGTTGTGAGCATGAGGCTGGCATGAAACATGGCAGAAACAAAACTAAGATATTTCCCTAGAAAAGGGCAAGAATAGGTAAAGGGTACTCATTTAACTTCATTTTTTAAAAAATCTTTTGAGTGTGATGAATTTTGTATGGGATGCTTAGAGGACTGTCTGAAACTCTCTCAGAGTCATTAGTAGTGTTTCTGGGAACCCATGGAGAGGGAATGAAGAACTAGATAACTAGAGAAGCACAATATTGTGCTTTTTTTTTTAAGCAAAAGGGGGAATTGAGAAGCTACTTAAGAAGTCAAATTAACTTCAATCCTCAGAAAAATTCTGTAAGAAGTAAAGCATCTGGAAATCAATATTTATGTATCATACTATGTCAAATGAACCTTATTTTCTTTCCTGACTGTGTAATGGGCCTTGTGGGCAATGGGAATCAGTACATGATATGTACCTTGACTTTACCAAGTTTTTGACACTATTCTACCTGATACAAGAGATTATAAGGCATATAGATAATATTCTGAGCTGCAGTTGCAGTGGTTTATGATAAAATAAAAATATTATCATTAAATACTGCAAAGGTCTGCCTCAGTGCAGTACAGTGGATGACATGGCAAGTTACAAGTAAGTCTTCAGTGCAATTTTAACCAAAATCCTGTTTTTAACTCCAAAAATTATTATTATATCTCTTCTCAGAACTGATATGCCTCAGTTGAAATGCTGTATATAGGCTTGGGTACGGATAGGGGAAGTAACTTAAAAATAAAACCAAAAACTAACAAACAAAAACAAACAGCCCACCCAACAAACAAAATAAACAAACAAAAAAACAACATAGAGGAGGAAAAGGGTGAACAAAAGATGACTTTGGGAAGAAGATTTTAAAATCTAGTCTTGTTTAATCTAAAGAAGAAAAGGCTGAAAATGGATTTAATACCAATCCTCAGATATGTAAGATGTTACAGCCATACCCATGGTGATTGAGTTGAATAACAGAAACCATCTTGATTTTAGGCATCCTTTCTAACCAAGACTGTAATGAAATGGGAGAAATTGCTTGTTGAAGTTGCAGTATTTCTTTCCGTAGAGATCCTTGAGCCCTTGTCAGAGGTAACATAAATGGAGCAAGATGTCATGGAGTTACAGAGGAGTAGAATAGGAACTTCCTAATATCTTCTTCTGACTTTTTTTTTTATGGTTTTATTTATTTTAAGTTTTCAGCTATAGGAGAGCAAAATGCTCCAATTAGCTTCACTTTTGCTTCTCCAAAACCCTTCACTTGTACCTCAGATTTTAAATGACTTTGTGGGGTTGAGTTTGATGTTAAAGGCAGTTGTATTTGCAGAGAGGTAGCACCTGAGCAGCTTGGGCATGAACCACCATCAGACAATGTTAGTGTTAGGTACTGTGCAAATCAAAGAGCCTATTCTAGCAATTTGCAACAGCCACCATTTCCTTTTGCTCAGGAGCTGGGAAAGAGCCCTTCTAGCCCTTTTTCAAGCCCAGTCCCTCATCAGTGTCAAGGTTTGGCTTACTACAATGCAACTCTTTTATCTATCATAGAAATCTTTGTCTCTCTCTTAAGAATAGCTTCATAAAAACTCCATGTAGTGATTTTTGGCAATAGTGGAGATTTCTGGGGCAGGTTTGAATGTGGTAGTCAGATCTCTTTTCATGCAGCTAAAATACAACACACAAAAGGCAATGTACTTTTTGTAAAACATGGTGAGAGAGGACATGGTCTTGAGCATGGGACCATTAGACTGAGCTGTGGGAGAGCTAGGCCTGATGGTGAATTACTTGTGTGTCACTGTGCAGCCATTTGTCCCTGCTGAGCCGCCAGTAGGATGCAGGATTAGCAGCACTGCCTCACCCTATGGAGTAGTTCTGAGGAAAAGTTCTTAGGCACATGAGGTGCCTAAATAGAGTAGTAACTGGGGTGCTAGAGGCATCCCTGAGGTGGATTTGCTGGTGCAGATGCAAGAGGGAAGTTTTGACTTCCGTTCCTTTAAAGTTTTGTAGTTGGCATGTTGACTACTTGGCCCGTGTAGAAGCAGAAGGGATGCAGTGGTGTCACAGAGGCAAACAATTCTCATTGCAAAAGGGATTCATTCTTTGATTAGTCAAACGTGCTTATTCTTGTACTTGGCTTTGAGCATCTGGAGGGGCTCAGAGCCCATTTTGTAAAGTACTTATATACAAGGGATGAAATCCTGTGGTGTTGAAATCAACAGCAGTTTCACCCTGGGCTCTCTCAGCTTCCATCCCATTCATTTCAGGGATGCGCAAATAAATGCTTTAGTGTTCCACTGAATGATGACAATTTTTCTGGAGGAATTATATCATCCTTTTCGCCAGGTCTTTGCCAGCTCAGTGGATTCCTGCCCTTAGAGCACTAGAGCTGCCCAGTCCTTGCCTCTGCTGGAGCACAGTGCCTCTCCAGACCTTTCAGTAAGGCTGTAGGAGCTCTCCCACACCTAACCTAGCTGCGCTAGGAAAGATCTATTTCAGTTAGTTAACATGGCTCATTTGCAACTACTCCCTCACACAAGCCAGGGAGTAGTTGCAAGAGCAGCTCTGCTGCTAAGTCCAGAGGACAGTAACTTCCAGCCAACAGCGTAGGGCAGGTTGGAGCAAGGGTTGGGCAGTGCCCAGTGTACCTGTAATCAGAAGGAAATGTGGCCACAGCCACGCAGGTTTGCCTGAACACCTTTGGTGAATGGCTATCTTGCAACTGAAACTGACTCTTTTATGAGTATTTTTTGTAGAAATCTCTTCTAAAACTGAGCAGTATGCAACTCTGTTTAAGATTTGGCACTGCCATGAGAGAAATATTAATACACCTCTCTCCAAAGGTATTGGCTAAACACGTGTATGTTCCATAGTGGATCCTCTTAGAAATTTTCTGCTCTATCTGAAAAACAGTGTAGTGTATCTCAGAGTGTTCTTTGGTCTTCTGGCTATATTGAACACATACATTTTACAGTATGTGTAATGAATATTTCTTGAGATATTTTCAGAGATTTTCTTTTTGGAGGAGAACTCCTGTAATGAACACTGTATCAAAACCTGTGTGACCATAATGCTGTGTTGTGAAACATTTCCAGGAGAACATAAACATTCAGGCAAACTTACAACAGGGAAAAACAATGTTTCTTAACATTTTCAGTCCACATACCAATTGATTATGGCTGTTTCTCACCTTGCATATAAGTGTGACTTGTTTAGCTTCTATGCCTCCCAAACTCACTCTGGGATAGAAGTTATTGGGGAAAGAGGGACCTGGGTGTAGTCAACTCTGCTTTAGAAATAGTGTTTCAGAGGCCATGTCATAATTACTCTATCAAAATCTGCAGTTACACAAACATTATTCTTGATATAAGCAACTCATGCTTCTTCCTCACTCTGCTTCTTCCTTCCCCTTTCTTGAATCTCTTTGCAGGTCCTGTGAGGTGGCCTCAGTTAAAAACAACACAATAATTCTCAGAAGAATGTGGCTGAGCCAAATGCCCAGGAAAGCAGAGCCTGATATGATTCTCTTAAAAAAAAATGCTGGAGAAGAACATAAAACCAGACTGAGTTAAAAGATCTGAAAAATAATTCACTGGAATGCAGTTTTGATATTTTGCATTAAATAAAGGTTTCACAACCCTTTTTAAGAGGTACAGTAAAAAGATTGGGGACATTACTCAGGAAAAATTCTTCACGTCTTATTCACCTTTTGTGAATAGGTTTATTTCTGTCAACTCCAGAAATCTTTGATTAAGTCCAAAACATCCCTAGCATGATCAGTGGTTTTAAAGTGAATTTTGCATTTCAGTGGTAGGAGACACATAAGGTGAACTAATTGTAAAAGTTTGTTCTTTCAGCATGGATCTTTTATGTCCAACATGTATCAGTATTCCGAGGTTTTCCAGATTTTGTGATTTCATCTTACCGTTGAATACATTATCCAATGTCTAAACATCAGTTACCTATAAAAATATGCACAACCCTGTGCAATATTTGAATATGTGGTAATTACACAGCAGCTGATATATCTGAAGATATTTTGGGAAAACTTTGTCTTTATAGGTTATTTTTACTTACAACTGGTTTACTTTCTATTGTACTGAGCTAAAAAAACTAAGGGACAGTAATTAACACCTGGAACAGCAAAAGCTGGTAGGTCATTAGTAATGTGGGATGGGGAGACTAGTTAAATGAAGTGCAGCAACTTACAAAACCTCTTGAACAGGCATGAAAACAGTCATCTGATGATACCAATCATTTGCCAATAGTTTTTGTAATTTCATGTTTTATTGTTGTTTTGGGGGGGCTTTTTTGAATTATTTGAAAGTTATTAATATTTTATTAAATCTTGTTTCTCTTACTCCCACTCTTGTTGCCATTTCCACGAGCTGAGTACCTATCCTATAGAAAAATTTCATAGAAGAAATCAATTCTATAAAGTTTCTTTCACATACCCTCCTACCTGGAGATTTTAATTTTCAGTACCTCCTTGACTTTCCTACATCATTAGGAAACATATTTATTTGTTTTAAATTCTGGCATTGGCCTTCAGAAACCTGGGCTTTTTTTTTTTTCGTGACAATCCTTTTGCTTGCTTTCCAAGTCCGTTTCTTATCCTTTTACCCTGTGTTTCTGTCACAATTTTACAGTTAGTCATTTAAAAAATATATAATTAAAGTGCCAAAGCACCTGCTAGCCTCATGCATATGCATGAAATAGAATTATGTCCCCTCCGGGACATTGGTGTTGTGACTCTGGGGAAATGGCTAAGTAACCATGACAACGTGTCTCCACCACATCTTATTTCCAGTGATAAAAGCATGATTTACCCTATTAAACAAACCATATTACAACTTGCCCACAGCAAGTGGTGTCAGCTTTCCAGTAGAGGCACCAGGTCAGGAGGGAGAGCAGCCCAAAACCATCCATCCATCGAAGCCTCCCCCTCCTTGACACTGCTTCATGGTTATGCTGATGGTAAGAGGCAGGATGAGACACATGTACAGTATTTCACATTTCCATCTTGATAGGTGAGATGAAATGAGAGGAGGAAATGCAGTATTCATTAGCTGCAGGCACCAGCCCAATCCCCAGTACAGCAGTGATGGACGGTGCAGGAGAACCCAAGGGTAAGACGCAAAGATTGGCGCAACCAACACACAATGATTCAGATGTTTAAATTAGATAATTTCTGTATCTCCTTTCCTGCCAGTTTGCCAAGGCTGCCAATATTTAGTGAATGCCAGGGAAGACTACCAGAAATGATTTTTCAAAGGCTGCTGCCAGAACAAAATGTTAAATGATTTTTTTATGATCTTGCTTATGCTACTGATTAGACATTATCTTATTTAAAGTGATTTTTAAAATCAAGTGCACTCTTCAATATGTATTTTTGATTTACACCCTGCTTAATTAGGGAAGACATCTTGCAATTACATTATCTATAATAATTTTATAGGGAAACTCTCCTCATTGGATCTTGTCTACTAGCATAACACAGTATTTGTTTTATTATCACTTTGAAGAAGTATTAAAATCAGTCAAACTAATAATTTAAATATTTTAAATATTACCTTAAAAGTGTTTGTGTTAACCCTCTTCTTCCCCCCACCACATACTTAAAGAAAAGTATAAACCTTAATTTGAGTTCTTAATCACTTGAGGGCACAATTTGATTAAGAACAATAAACAGAGAGGTGAAGAAATTAAAACCACAAAAGTCTCAGAGAGAAAACAGAACTGGTGTTTAAAGGTCAAGTACATAGACATAATTAGTTCTACTTACATGAAGAATTGCAATTAGCTTTATGAATTGCATTTTGAAATTGCCGGGTCTTGTGAATCCTGAGGGTTTCTTAAAACATCATCTGTTAGAAGCATGTGATTAGATCAGACTCATATCTAAGAATGAAAAAAGCTAAATTGTGCTTTTGGTGCAAACAACCGTGAGGTGAAGCTGAAACCATTATCTGGGTTTACCAAAAATGACTAGAAAACAATAACCTCATATTCATCAGATTACTTGGAAACCTGACTTATGATCGCTAAGTTCTTGGGACTGATCCTTTCCCAATTCAAAACATAACCTGTACAAGTTGAAGTAGAGGGATTCTCCATTTACTGTGTACTGTCAGATTATTTTCTCTTTCAACAATACCCAACACAGAGAAGGTCAGAGCCCTGTAAGTAAGAAAATATTCACAGAAGCGTCCTTCACAGTTTCAAGTAGTTCCAAATCTCTCTCTCTTTAAGCATGTATTTCTTCACTGAATATTTTTTACTGTTTTCATTAAAATACTAACATATGCAATGTTCTTATCTGAGAGCGGTGTTGCTCCCACATTTCAGGACCCTTTCATTATCAGACAATGTAACAATTTAGTGTGTGCTCAGTGCATCAGCATTGCCTTTTTATTCTGGACTGAAATTGCAACAACATGTAGAAAACACCCCTGTCCCTCTTTCAGGGTTCAGATTGAAGGCTTTTACTTCATAAAGTTCAGAACTCAAAGGAGGATTAAATTCAATGCACTAGCAGACTGAAAGGAGAAGCCAATGGCTTCTGAAAACCATAAAGTTTGTTACTGAAGAGATCTTGGTGGTTTCGTAAACCCCAAAACTTTCTGACTTAAGTCAGTGATGTAATCATAGAATCATAGGATATCCTGAGTTGGAAGGGACCCACAAGGATCATCTAGTCCAACTTAATGTTTTAAAATACCTATGAATGTTCTTGGCTTACTGATGCAACCCAGAGGGTAAATCAAAGGGTCGTATTTCCAAGTGCTAGCAAGACCCTGAGAGCTGTTCCCAAAAAAACCCCAAGCCCAATAGAAATCTGATTTCTGCTAGAACATGGATTCAAGCAATAAAAGTCAGTGTCTGGACTTTAGGGCCACTTCCAGGAATTTGAATGCTGAATGGTAGGGAAAGATTTGACAAATATTATTAAGTTTTCAGGTATCCCAATCCTGTCACTGCTCTGGGCTTCCCAAGCAGGGAGCTACCTTGCAAGCATACCTCACATTTCTTGCAAGATTTTCTAGTTGCCTCTGGATACCTGTTCAAAAGCCAATGCATATCTACCCTATTTTTCATGCTGTATGGGAAACCTGTAGTAGAGGTAGCAGAGTACCCAAGTTAGTTGCTTGGAGTTTTGGACGAAGCAGAGCACTGGATTTGTTGCTTTAGCTCTGATTTGTTTGCTTGTGTATGTGTGTGTGTAACATAACAACCTCCTCACCATCCAGAAACAGACTGTGTACTGTGTGAAGGACTGAGCAAGAGAGAGGAAACCTGAAGTCAAATTTTATACTACTGCTTAGGACCCCAACTTGAGTAGTGACTTTGGGCAAGCAACTTGCAGCAAACTCCTCTAGAAAGTGTCTGGAGCCTTACAGAATGCAGTAGAGAAATAAAAGGGGAAAACACTGCATCTCAGTTTTCCTATCTGTAACATGGGACTAATACTTGCCAACCGACCCACCTCACAAGGGAGATGCAATAATTAATTAGCTAATGTTCCTACAGCACTTTAACTCTGTAAAGTGTAAAATAAATGTTAAGCATTATTGGCACTTAGATTCTACAGTGATTGGTGCCCTACAATTCCCTAAGCCAGGCAGCTAGTTATTGCTGCTCAGAGCAACAGTAGCTTACAATACATCCTGCATTATCAGCTAGTTTCTAGATGGTTACGTGCCAGTGTGGCTGTGCATACACCCTCCCACACATGCCAGATGCCACACAGGGGAATTCTGACTGGGAGGTCCAGGATGTGACTGCACAGCGCGGAAAGGGGTCGCTGCAGCCACTCTAACTGAGCAACCCCTTTTTGCTCTAGTTCTATTTCCTTCTCTCTGAACCAGGTTATTAGGTAATAACCAGTACACAAAACCCACTGCTCTGCTGTATAAATACTATTTGATCTAATTTTGTCAGCTGACTCATTATCACTGAAAATATACAGAATTCCAATAAATTCAATGTCAAAAGAACTAATTGGTAAGATGTGTAGAGCAATTTGAGAGGAAAAAGAGAGCTTTCTCGCTTTTCATTTTGTCGCTTTATACTTCTTAGCTAAATTTTCGTTTCAGCGAACAAGAAGATGGCAGCTTCTAAAATTATGTTTGAGAGATGGATATGTAGGTAATATTGTTTAATATTAACTGCTGCTATATGGGTTCATGAATTCCCATCAGTACAAGTTTTTATGAAGTTCCTTATGCTAAAGTCTCTTTCAACAAAGACAGTGGAAAGAGCCTGGTTTGCAGCTCAGTAGTTCAAGAAAGAATTGCAGCTTTGCCCTCTCAGACATATCCTGAGAGCTCAGCATTGAAGTCTGCATTTACACTATATACAATTACAGGATTTTATTTCAGGTTAGATTCAGCCTGGTCCTCTGGGTTAAACTTCCTTCACATGTCTGTGTCTCAAAGCCATTCAAACCACCAGTCAGTTATTTGTAGCTTTGTGACTCCATCTGATTTTGAATGCATCTAATACAAAACAGGAAGAAAGTTTCTTATTTAGTTTGCTCTCAAAGAAATCCAAAGCCACACTGTGAATCAAATCAGTAGATGGTAAAAGGAGACAACTGGAAATTCTGTAAAACCCTA